CCATTTTGAAGGTAGGGGCCATTATGCTGTAATAAGTTTCCATTTATGTTAGAGCTGAGTTGTTGCTTTGAAGTCTGTTTTGGAGCCTGACCTGCCCTAACCTATGCCCTTGACTTGTTTGACCCTCCCTAACCCTCAGTCCACATGTAGACCACATGGTGGTTTTTGAGATTTTTCTGGTCTTCCTTATCGCTCCATTGTCTCTCTTCTGCAAACCTGCTTTGCAAGTACTCATGATTTTATTCCTTAAAAGGGGCCCAAGAAATGGACCCGGGCTGTTCTCTTTAACCCAACTTAGAAGGCAGTCTGCTGGACAGCTCTTGTGTGCACCCCAGTAAAATCAAGCTTTCTTCAAACTTGGGTCAAAATTGTGGTGGTGATCTTCTTCTCAATTGGTGGGATTCACAGAGCAAAGACTAGAAGAGACCAGCTGTGAGTGTTAGCCTCCGGTGCCCCTGTATGGTCCGGAAAGCTGCATTCCCATGTCTATCTGTCTCCCTGTCTCTGTCTCTCTCTGTCTTTCCAAAACCCCACCTGCTCAGAAAGGATAGGCTCCAGAAAGCCCAGTTCTGCATTCGTGGTGACTACTGTAGCTTCTTCCAGTAATGCTGCCTGCCAGCCTCCCAAGTCCCCGCCTAAGTGCTCAGCTTTTGACCATACTTGGGCACAAACCTTGTGCTGGATGCATCATCACCCCTTACTTACAATCTATAAAACTTTCCTGCCCTGGCCTGGGCAGGTGACTTCTCTGGCCTCATTCTCTGAGGCTAGTGAACCAGCCCGGGAGTTGCTTTGCTCAATATACCTGTTCTTATACTTTTTCAATTTGGCTTGATTTGTCATACTGCATTGGCAGAGAAACTCCTTAGTAGGGTACTCTTGGTGTGGGTGGTCAAATGAATGCCTGGCAGGGGCAAGGCATGGGCAAGGGCCAGAAGTGAAGGGAACAAAGGGAACCAGTAAAGTTGAAGCCAGAGGAATCTGCATCATGAAGGCTACTCTAGGGATTGGCTTTTAGTGTCAGGGAGGGTTTAATATAAGAAGGTTTACATTTTAATAAGATCATTCTGGAGGTTGAGCCAAACTATAGTATGAAGGAGAGTGGATAGAAGGTCGCTACCACTGCAGTCCAGGTGTGAAGACCAGCAGGAGGGGGTGGGAAGTGGTGAGCATGGGATGCATTTAGTTTCAATAATCATAGGAACTCATTTAACCACCAGACACTGTCTTCAACACATTGGATGGATTCCTAAGTAACAGCAACCTTCTAAAAGGTTGGCATAGCTTTCCTACTAAGACTCAAATGGCACTAGTTTGGGCTAAATCCAAAGGCTTGGCACACAGAAAGCCTGTCCACTGTGATAGCACTTAACTGCCCCACCTATTTCCAGAACCCTTGAGGTAGGAATCGCCCTTTTGCAAGGCTCTGAGACACTCCCTTTACTCAGTTCAAATGTAAATACCTGTGCTTTTCCCCAGGCTGAACAAGGTAGCCAGACAATACAGTAGATGGATCTCAGACAGTTCCCCCTTCTGAATCTTTGATGCTTGCTGCCACCGTGACCTAGATATAGCAAGGTTAAAAGGCAAATAAACATTGGAATTGCCTGAGGCCCTCTGCCTAGAGGCAGGCACTGGAAATTACAACCTAGTTAGTGCAGGAGTGCTGACTCACTCTCAGCTCTGCCATTGGCAGCTAGCTAACTGGGCAGAAAAAGGGTGGTGTTAATACAGGGCCAAGGGTTAGAGAGGAGTTCCTGAGATAATGGAGCAAGACAGTGTGGGGATTACTACTGGAACTGAGGCATGAAAGTTCTAGATGTCAGAGTGGTATTCTTATGCTGAGGAATGGGGACTGGCAGACTGTAAACAGGAAACAACAGGCTGTGAGCCAGGAAGAATGGCACAATTATGAGAAACTTCTGAAAAGCTCAGATCTTGGCATGGGGAGATGCTCAGGGGATAAAATGCTTGCAGTGCAAGCATGAGGACTGGAGTTTGGGTCCCAAACCAGCAAGTTCTGAGCACACATGGTGGCCTGTCTGTAATTCCAGCCTTCAGAAGGCAGAGATGGGGAAAAAATCTTAGATGCAAGCTGACCAATCAGACTTTCCCAACTAGTGAGCTCTGGGTTCACCTGAGAGATGCCCCAGTGGATAAAGTAGAAAGTGACTGTGGGAGACATCTAACTCAAAGCCTCCACATGCATGTGTACATACACACAGCGCATATGCACCCACACACAGATGTGAACACATATTCTAACACACACACATGCAAAAACACTTCACACACAAGCAAAACAAAACAACTTAGACCTGTTTCAACTGAGGGAGATGATACAGCAAGTCTGTAGTTAGCTAACTCAGCAATTAATTCACAGAAGCATTTTGAGTGTTAAATATGTATAAGAACAAAGTATCACTTTCAGGAGAAAAATGTATGAAATGGTGGAAAGGAAACCTGAGGCAGGCGGCCCTGTTTGACCTTTGCCCTGCCCTTTGCCACCTTCCAAAAGATAAAATGTCATTATGATGGGATGTAGATACTTTTCTCCCTCTACATCTTGCTAAAGCCTGGAGTCATTCCTAAATTAGTGACAAAAGTATAAAGCAGTTACTGTAAGGATTTGGTCCTTAATTACGTCATTAGTCTGCGACGGTGTCCTAGCCTAAAAAGCAGGTGGGCCCTCTGTGCATCCTTCTCTTTCCTTTCCGCTCCTTCCTTCCATCTGTCCTCTCTCTCTCCCTCTCCCCCTCTCCCCCTCTCTCCCTCTCTCCCAATAAAGCTCTAAAAAGGTAACCATGGCCTATGATTCTTCTGATGAGCACTCTCCTTTGCTGGCATGGCCGCCGCAGGCGACGGCCCTCCACGAGTGGCAGGGCGTTTAACAACAGTTACTAATTATTAAAAGAAATCAGACACTTCAGTGCTTTTTGATTTTATGAGAGGAAATAATATAAGGGCAACTGGAGTGGGGGTGGGGCAAAAGAGGGAAGTGGAGGCCTGGTGTGGGGTGAATGCTCAGTGCCTGTAGACTCTGTTCCTTTCCCAGACCTTGGTATGTACCTCACTGAAGGTGGTCCTACTTGGTGTTCATAGGGTCCTCCTGTGATTTATGAAGAGGGATTGACTGATTCATTTTTAGCTTGGCCCCTAATTCTTCCAAGCCTGGGTTCCAGCAGTTCTCAGTTCCCAAACAGCTCACATTTGCACCTGACTTCATATTTTCAAAAATTTATACTTATTATTTTTAAGAGGGTGTGTGTGTGTGTGTGTGTGTGTGTGTGTGTGTGTGCAGGTGACCAAGGAGGCCAGAGGTATCACATCCCCGGGGGTTGAAGTTACAGGCTACAGGCAGTTGTGAGCTGCCAACATGAACACTGAACTCCTGTATGAGCTCTTAAATGATGAACTATCTCTTCCTAATGCTGCGACCCTTTAATATAGTTCCTCATGTTGTGGTGACCTCCAACCATAAAATTATTTTGTGGCTACTTCATAACTATAATTTTGCTACTGTTATGAATAGTAAGTATCTGATATGCAGGATATCTAATGTGAAAACCCTGTGAGAGGGCCATTTGACCTCCCCAAAGAGATTGTGACCCAAAGGTTGAGAACCACTGCTCTAGACCCTGAAACTTAATTTTAATCACTGTCCAGTAAGGCGTACCTTTCTGCCACACTTAGCCTTGTTAACTTTGCTGTTTCTCCTACTCACCTGCACTGTATTTCTTGGATATGCCATTAGAAGGAAACTGTCACATCACCACCCACCTATCTGACCCATGTCTCCTTCCACTAGTAAACTGATATACTTTTATGGAGAAGATCTTTGCTGAAGACTTTTAAACATGAAGGAAAAACTGTACATGCGGAGAATCCCTAACTGAGAGCAAAGAGCTCACGGCTGGAAAGATTCCTTCAATCGACACGAGGAGGAACAGCTAACACCCCTCCTTTCCAGAACTAAACACATGATGTCAGAGGACCTCCTCTGTCAGAGTCCACCAGAATCCTAGAACTGTGAATTCTCCTTCTTCCCACACAGCCCTAAACAAAGGAAACTTAATCCACCTGATTACTCTTGAAGCTTCAATCACCTGAGCAGGAAAATAGGCTCACCCACAGACTCAGGAGAAACTAGTGACAATGGCCCTTTGTTTCCTTGGGGTGGAGAAGAACTTACTGAATTCTAACTTGGGTATCTAAATTTTTATTCTTTAAAACCATAGAGGACCTCTTAGAATCTTTGTTATAGTAGCATGTTTATACACACACAGGAGAATTTGGGAGGGAAGATCACAACAATCATCTCTGGATTTTGCATGATAGTTTCTTTTATATTTGCTTAGAAGTTTTAACCATGTGTGTAATGATTTCTAACTCTGCCTGAAGTCATTTATTTTAGACTGTCACACTCAAATTAGAACCTAGATTAGGTCTTGAACCTAGGCTACCTCAGGGACTCACCTTCCTATACAGATTTGCCCAGGCCCCTCTGGATGTGAAATAGGAATGTAGATTATTGGTGTTTACGCAGCAGAATGACTTACCTGACACACAGAAAAGAGGCTCATGCATAAGAGGGTTTGGAGGGGTAATAGAGAATATGAAACAGTAAACAGTATATTAACTAACAGCATTTGTACCCACAATTTGTAACCATGTGGCTGTGTTAATTCTTGGAGCAATAAAATTATACTTCGGCATGCGGTAAGATGTTTCACAGGGGCCTTCTAAGTTTGAAATAACATGAAGTGTGGCTCAGCCCAGGGCAAGATGATGTCCCAAACTCAAACATGTTCAGAGAAATTCAACTGATCCATACTGGATCTAATTTGTTTTATAAAACAAGGACTCTCTTTGGGAAATAGTTTCTGACCTTCATCAACATCCTTCATGGGAAATTACACTGGAAGACTCTTAACAAGAAATAGTCAAAGAAATTTAGAGGCTCAAATGATTTTGAAACCCCTGCAATCACAGATACTCACCCAAATACCCAGCACTGTGTCCCTACGCGCTTGCACTGTGTGTCGGTGAGGTAAGCATAGTATTGTCTGAAAGAGCAGAATTGGAATTCATGAGCACCTCTACAGGCCAAGATTCTACACAATGGTATCTCTTTGAAGAGGGAATAAAAAACCTGCCCTGCCTTGCTTGCCATATTCTAGCTGCCTGGTCTAGTTGTATTCAAGGGAGCAGCCAGCTAGGGCTATTCAAACACTCCTGTAAGGGATTCTGAACTTGGGTTGGGTGGGAGCGAAGGGAGCTCAGCTTACAGGATCACACTGTTGGCAAAGACAACACTGGTCCAGCCCTGAGCAAGGCAGCCTGGGTCTGATCCAGTCTCTCTGTAGAGTGGAGACCACTCCAGAGGATCAGCGCTGGGCTTCTTCAACTGCCTCTTATGGCATCTTGGGTATACAATCTAGGTGTTGATTGTACAGGTAAAACAGAGACATCTTTGTCTTGCTGAAACTGGAGGGGCCCCAGCTGCACTTCACTTTAGTTGCATGACAGGACTCGGAATGCCGCTGACAAGATTAGCAAAGAGTGTTCTAGTGCTCACAGCAGCACCCACTGACAGAACTAGATATGAGTCAGAGATACCTTTCAGATGTTACTAGCTGTCACATGAAGTTAAAGACAGATAAAAGTCACTTTAATAAAGTGACCAATATATAAACTATACCAAAATGTAAGAATGAGGTGTTTTGTATTGCTCTTGAATTAACTCATGTAAAATGTGTGTTTACATGTACCACACATTTCAGTATGGACTGGCTATGTTTGGTGAGTAGATGTCAAACAAAACTGTGGTTTGGAGCTCACAAGTACTCCTGAGCTCTATCTGTGCCTACAGAAGGTAAGGGAACCAGGAGCTCACCATTTTGGGGAGGTTACAGGTTCCCTTGAGGATTTGACAGACTCTGTGGCAAAGAAATATAATATATGCACACAAATTTTACATTGAACTCTGTGGGACTCAGACACTATATAACACTCATTCATGAACTATGACCTCATTACTTCAAAGTCTCTAGTGAAAAAAAATCGAACACAGGTTTTCTCATTTTGCCCACACTTTTATTACCTTATTTGCCTTTACTAGATCGACATGTTACCCTCTAGAGAATAGTTTTTCTACTTTTGTTAGCTGGTGTTGGGGTAATAACAAATGACAAGAGGCAATGGTTGGGAAAGTCTCTTTGAGCAAGGCAACAATATCTCCTCTCTTTGGTAAGGTAGCCCCTCCACCTGTGTGGTTCAAATGCATATTAAAAGTGATGGCTTTTAATATGATTTTTTATTTTTATCATTTTATATTTTAAATGATATTAAAAGCAAGATGGCTCAGCAGGTAAAGACACCTTCTGCCAAGCCTGACAATCTAGAGTTCCATTCCTGGGATCCACACGGTGAAAGGAGAGAAGACTCCTGCAACTTGTCCTCTAACCTCCACAGGAGTGCCATGGCACACATGTGCCTGGGCCCCCACCTCTACCCCAAATAAATTTTAAAATGTGAAAAAGGGGTGGGGGCGTGGATAAGCTAAATAATTCTATGGTTTTTAAAAGGTAGCAACTCCTTTAACTGCTTAGTTTCTATGTATGTATTCCTTCTGCAGATCACTGATGTGGCTACTGCATTCTTTATGAGCTATACTGTGTAAATGCCATTTCTAAATAGAAAACTAAGACAAAAGAAAAGGTTCTGTTTGAAATTGCCCCTTGGGGGTATACATGAAGGACAGTGAATGATGTCCCTCTTCTGGCCCTACATGAATGCAGAAGAATATTGGCATGGACACTTAGGCTCACCATGGCTGTCCTGGAGGACTTTCAGGGCACTTAAAAAGGGAGTCAGCTTAACTGAATCTCAACAAAGTCTCATTCTAAAACAAATTGCCACTCGTGACTTCAACTTTATACAAACTTTTCTACTTACAATAATCCCATTTTAGGAAACCTGCTGTCACCTTTACTACTTTTTAACAGGATGTAAGAAAACCAGCAGCGACAGCACGTACAGGTGTTGAAAACAAGGGCCGTTGTAGGGGAATGCCACTAAGTAACCACTTTAAAAAAATCTCACTGTTGTACTGAGGTCTCAGATCAAAACGTTTTCTTCATATTCTGGACAATTATTTAGCATAATATTTTCACAGAAAATCTGTTAGGAAGAAAAAACAAAACAAGTATATGTCCTCAATAAATGGCAGTGGGACTAGACAGAATTACCTCACTGTAGGAGCTGTAATGCAGCCGATGAAGAGAATTCTACACCAGCTTAAGGGATGGCTGGCTTGGAACACAAATATGTGCTTCAAGAAGAAGGTATTCAACTCAGTCAGCTGAAGAGAAGAAAGATCAGTTACCCTGTGCCAGGCTACATCATGAGCATACATTCCTTAAACAGGCTTTCTAGAGCTAAAAATGACCAGCATGTCCAAAGCATTCTCAGAAAATATATGGGGTCTCCCAGGGATTGATACTTAAAGTAGTAACAGACCGTATATAACTACAGACCAACTGGGAGCAGGTCGGTGTGTGTGTGTGTGTGTGTGTGTGTGTGTGTGTGTGTGTGTGTGTGTGTGTGTTCACGCATACATGCGCATGCACATGTATGACTAGAGTGGTGGAAAGGTAGTGCATGATCTCTGGTCATCAGCTATTTGAAATGTTTCCTGATTTGCATTTCTGCCACTTGGTTCCTCTGTGTGATCTGCTGGGACAGTCAGGACAGACTTTGAGCCCAGGACAAACTATACAAATCAGTACTTCTACAGTCTTATAGAAATCAGGCCAGTCTAAAGAAAGTTCAACTCTAGATAAATCAGCACTGACCTAAAGACACTTGAGGTCCATCTGAGAGCTGACTACCGGAGGCATGTGAGGTGTATGTTCAGGGCAGATCCAACTTTTGTTCTGAGACAGAGTCTTGTGACGCAGTACTGGCTCACCTGGTACTAGGTAGCCCAGGTTGGTATTAAACTTGCACTAATCCACCTGTCTCATTCTCCTGAGTGCTAGGATTATAAGTGTGTGCCACTACTCCCTGATTATAAGGATTTTTTTTAAATATTTTTATTTATAGTTGGTTGAATCTTCAGATATGGACCTTGCAGATACAGAAGCAGAGTGACTTCTCCAAACCACAGTAATGATTTACCCACTTGCACTTCTGTAACTATAAACTCCATCTATTAAGAAAGGAATTGCTTTCCATGTGTGAACAAGATTTGTGAGTCTTAAAAGTGATACACATTGATCTTTTCCATTTTATTTTAATGTTTTATTCCCATCTATTTATATATTTATTGTGTGTGTGGTATATGTACATGTGCAACACACTGCATGTATGAAGGTCCTAAAGTTTTATGTTTGATGATTCTGAAAGAACTTTTAAGCAAAATGTGGTTTCTCATGGTGAGTTTCCAGAAGCTGTGAAAACCTCTGGGGACAGGAAGCAAAAACAGAAAAAAAAAGTCTGTCTCCAAAACCTGAGGCATGAGAATACTTCCCCAGTAATACTGAGATTTCTTCCACCTGGAATGCTTCTCTCCCTCAAGATTCACACTGTGCAAGGGTCCCATTCCCAAAGCTGAGACAGCTCTGTGAACATTATACAAACTGGGAAAAGCTGAGATACAATTTTGAATACCAAAAGTGAATTAGGAATATAAGAAAAGATTCAGTGGTAAGGTGCTTGCCTGGCATGTGCAAGACCCTAGAAAACCCAGCTGTGCTTCCTTCTAATAAGGAAAAGACAAAACTCAACGCCAACCCACTTACTGCCTCGATTTTATAAGCAATGGCCCCTAGTATCTGTTAAGGATGGGTTCCAGGACATTCCCTGGACACCATGGATTCTATACCCAGCACTGCAAAAACTAAAATTAAAAATTAAATTAAAAAATTTAAAAAGCCTTCCCATAGTTCCTTTGGTATTTAAAATATTCTTCAGAACGGTGTTACACCTAATTCATTAGGTGATGGGCACTAAATATGACCTTTTCCAGGAAATCAGTTTCTAATTTGTAATTCAGAGACTCCTATCTTAAAATGTCTCCACACTGAATCAACTCCTCAGAGAGTAGCCTTGATTTTAATTACCCTATATGCCAGCTATAAAATCTCTTCCAAAGTATCCAGCTGACATGAAATGTAACCTGCCTTTAATTCTAGTCTCAGGAAGATTCGTGTTTTGTTCCCCCCCATCCCCTTAGAATGGGCATCTATCAGATTACCTGCCAGATGATCATGAAAAGGTATATCCCAGCCACTCTCTGGAAGGAAGACTTAGGGTCAAACCATCTGACATAAGTCCAGCTAGCAGGGGTGAACTGCAACACGGCACGTTTGATCTTCCCTGTGGTAGTATGGATATCCCTGGAAGAAGAGAATAGAAACCATGAAAATCCAGGAGTAAAAAGGAGGGAAAAAGGAAAAAAAAAAAAACAACATACCAATGATATTCTAGCAAGTGCTCAGAGCAGAGAGGATCCTTTCTATTGGAAGGGTCTCAAGCACAGGTCACAGGAGCACACTGGATGGGGATGGGGCTTCAGGGATGATGGGAAGGGTACAATAATGTCAACGAGATCAGAGATCTGGGTGCTGCTGAAATATGAGAGGGCTAAGTTTGTGAAGTGTTGTCAAAAGAAGTTAACAGGAATTAAAGACAACCTGGAAGCACTCAGGAAGAAAGTAGATGGAGCAAGGATACTATTCCCTCCCACTCTGTCTCCTGAGGGGGTGTTGTGGTAAAAGGGCTCATGCTTCCTGTTCTTGAGCTCACCAACATCATTTATTTCCCTCTATCCTTCCCCAGAGTTAGTGGTGACAATGATGTTTAACTTTTCATGAGTTTAATCCTAGAAATCACTCATTCAAATGTCTCATGTCACAATTTATCTTACACATGAGAAGATTTAGGTTCAAAGAGTAGGTGGATGGTGCAGACCAGCTTTGTCAACATAGGAACTGGGTATGAACCTTTCAACTAGCCCAGTTAAGCCAAAACCCAAGCCATTTAAATACCTGGTGGGGAGTCTAATTCAACAGAGGTTTATACTGAGGACTCTTGCATAAATAACAACATTCCAGACCTTTCCTTCCAGAGGTAGAGGAGTAAAAGACAGAAGAGAAGCAGGTCAGGTCCTTTATCCACCCACCTTATGTGTCTTCCCAGCATAAGGATGTGCTGGGAAGACATCCCAACAAGGTTGGAGGTATGATAGCAACAAGAACAGAGACTGCCCAAATTAAGAAGGATGGCAAAGGTCCTGTATTTTCAAAATGTCAAACGTAACAAAACAGAAATTGAAATACAACACAATCCAGAAACAGATTATTTAATGCAGTGAAGAGGTTAATTTAGTTTAAAAGGTCTATATTTATTTATATTTAATGTGGCTTTGAAAATACTGAGCCTCTGTTTAGTGTGGGCTTATATTCTGGCATCTTGACAAAATGATTCCAAGTTGAACTCGGAAGGATAAATGCATAAATACAGGGAAGTACTGTGGCTGTACTTGAGTCAGCTTGGTATAAATTTACACTCCACTGCTTAGTGACCCATGTGTCCTTAGGCAAGTTACTAAACCGGGGCCTCGCTATTATTACCACCCCAAAGAGAGGAGCAGTGTATATCCTCAGGACTGATGCAAGGCTCTAAAGTGGCACTTTGCTCGACTTGCTTGGAGCAGTGTGTAGCCCAGATACTGTTACACAGTAGATCACCTTTAAATAATTACAAAGGCCTCAAGTCAATAGGCAAAGGGATTATTAGTAAGCTAAAGAGGATAAGTTAGATAATTAATGGCAAAAGGTATAAAATCTCTCCTTTGTACCACATACCAATATAAATCTGACCTAGGTTAAACATGGTTGTGTAGGCTTATAATCCCAGCATGCAGGAGGCTAAATCAGGAGGATGGAGTTCAAGGTCAGCCTGAGCTATGTTAGTAAATTCCTAATAGCTTGAGGCAGGAGGATTATAAATTCAAGGTCTACCTGGGCTACAGAGTGAGTTGAAGGCCACCACAGCAATTTAATGTGATTGGAGATGGAAAGAGAGCTGAGTATGACTTGGTGGTAGAGAACTTGCTTAGCATATGTAGGCACTGGGCTCAATCCAACTACTGTGGGAGTAGGATATGTCAAAATGGAAAGCTAAAAGCATTTATGGCAACATGCAAGCATTCTTGAACTATAAAAGGCAGTGAAAAGAAAACTCCTGAAGAAATAGGCAAAAATCCTTTCAATTTAATGTAGGATGAATCTGAAAGGTTTAAAAATAGATTCAAGGAAACAGTGAATGAATACATGTACAAATTCAGGATGGGTGAGCTGTAAATCAGTGCACTCTAGTTGTGAGAAGATTACCAATTAAAAAGAGAGAAAGCAAGGACTAGAAATGTACAGATACACAGACATGTCATGATTTTCACTGTAGCTTTTGTAACAGTAAAACCTTAGAAACATGCCGGGCGGTGGTGGCGCACGCCTTTGATCCCAGCACTCGGGAGGCAGAGCCAGGCGGATCTCTGTGAGTTTGAGGCCAGCCTGGGCTACCAAGTGAGTTCCAGGAGAGGCGCAAAGCTACACAGAGAAACCCTGTCTCGAAAAACCAAAAAAAAAAAAAAACCTTAGAAACAACTAAATGAACCATGAACCAGTTACTATTTTATGATTTGTCTATAAATTGAGATATATATGGAAAAGCCCTTTAAAATCATCTTTTAGAAGAATATTGGCTGACTTGGAGAAATGTTCATATTTTGTGATATAAACTTCCTACGCAGTGAAAACATCTACCTCCATTATCATACCTCAGCTCGCCACAAGCTGAGAAGCAATGAATGAAGCAGAATGGTGGTGACACAAATTGCCCTCGTACAAGCACAGAGCAGGGGTGGAGATGGGGGTGGGGGTGGGGGGTGTTACACTCAAACTAGAGTCAGGGTAAGCTTTCCTGATGAGATGATGCTGTGGGATGTTCTGTATGGCAAATGTGTTGCTAATTAGGCAATAAATAAAACACTGATTGGCCATTGGCTAGGCAGGAAGTGTAGGCGGGACAAGGAGGAGAATAAAGCTGGGAAGTGGAAGGCTGAGTCAGAGAGACACTGCCAGCTGCCACGATGAGAAACAGCATGTGAAGATGCCGGTAAGCCACGAGCCATGTGGCAAGGTATAGATTAATGGAAATGGATTAATGTAAGCTATAAGAACAGTTAGCAAGAAGCCTGCCACAGCCATACAGTTTGTAACCAGTATAAGTCTCTGTGTTTACTTGGTCGGGTCTGAGTGGCTGTGGGACTGGCGGGTGACAGAGATTTGTCCTGACTGTGGGCCAGGCAGGAAAACTCCAACTACAAGATGACAAGTCATTAGGGTCAGCAAGGGAAAGTAGGACTAGTCTAGTCTCTGGAATGCAGACCAAGTCCCCAGTGAAGGAGCTTGTGGATGGCTATGGGACTTTGGGTACCTGGTGGGACATGGAGAAAGGTCTTTCCTCCCAGCCTGTGGATGACAACTTATACTTAAGACTAAAGAAGCCACAACAGACGTGTGTGGTGGTTTGAATAAAAATGGCCCCCATAGGCTCATAGAGAATGGCGCTATTAGGAGGTATGGCCTTGTTAAGAGTAGGTGTGACATTATTGGAGGAAGTATGTCACAAGGGGTGGTGGTGGCAAGCTTTGAGGTTTCAGAAGCTCAAGGCAGATCCAGTATCACTCTCTCTCTCTTTCTGCTGCCTGCCCATCCAGATGTAGAACCTCTGGACTCCTTCTCTAGTACCATGTCTGCCTGACTGCCTGCCGCCATGTTTCCCACCATGAGGATAATGGGCTAGAACTGTAAGCCAGCCCCAATTAAATGTCTTCATTATAAGAGTTGCAGTGGCCATGGTGTCACTTCCCAGCAATAAATCCCTAAGACAGGGTGTATGACAGGATGAAACTAATGTTTTTTAAGAGCTCCCTCAAAAAACAGTCTGATAAAAATTGCGAAGGCCATCCCCAGAGGCAAACCACTGAATCTATGGATGAGTTTGGATTTGGCCTATGGAAATGAATTAAAGGAGTGGCTGTGAGAATTATTTTGAACAAAAGGATGCTCAAAGATGAAACGGTAAATGATTTAGCATTTTCTATAGCTATTTTTCATGTTTTAAGACAAGGTCTCACTATGTAGCCCAAGCTGGTATGAAAGGCACTTGACAGCCCAGATTAGCCTTGAATTTGCATAATGCTCCTGCCTCAGCTTCCTAAGTGTTGAGATGGCATATGTGAATCACTACACCCAGCAGCATTTTCTAGAGGGGTATTTAAAACCAGATTTATAATCATCTGTACTGTAATTGCCAATGTATCATTCATCTGTTATTGTGAGATCATACTAAAACCCATTTGTAATAAAGCCCAAACCATACTAAAATTGTGACCAAGGTTCCAAAGGAGACGACTCACTTAAAGCTTGCCCAGTGGTAAGTCCTCATCTCCAAAAATCGGCAAACAACCATGCCCAGCCAGATGCCACCACCATTGCACAATAGGATGTCCAGAATGACCTGGTCCCACCAGCACTCAGCAAAGTTGGGCAGCAGATGCATGAAGAAAAGCTGAGGAACACAAGAGACGACGGTTGGAAAAATACTGTTAATGGGGTACCATGCATATACATTCTTTATAATAACACACTGTTCAGAAAATGTGTTTCCTTTTTCCATAATGTATATAAAAACAACAATAACAAAGTCTGAAACAGGCTCTTGCTTTTTTTATTGAAGGATTTGCAAACAACATTTACCCAAATAGCTCTCCTTTAAAAACGAACAAAAGAAAACAAAAACCTGGATTTCAAAGAACAGTTGCCACTGAGTCACAGCCCCAATGAGTCACATTGGCTAATGACACACAGAAGTAACTTCAAGGAGAATAGAGAAATGTTTCAAAGCTGACAATGAAGTGCTGCAAAATCCTCAAAATGAGAAGCATGAGAATGTGTTTGGAAACAATTCCAGGGTGGTGACCAATCAGTGAGTAATTGTAAAAGCAGAAAAGTTGGCTGCTGATGGCACAGTGAAGGAAACTGAGAGACTCAACAGGACATTTAAACTACCGGTACCCAAAAATGCCATCTTCCAATAGGCACCATGGTACGAACGGTGGCCAGATAACAGTAAGTCTAGGCTGAGTATCCAGGGAAGTTGAATCCCAAGATAAACCAGACTTGGACAAGTGCTACAGTGGTGACATCAATGGATTGTGGGGATGAGATGGGCTCACTCTGACTGAGGGCAACTGGGGATGGTTTCTGGGAGGAGACCATGTTGGAGTAGGGATGTGAACAGAAGTGACTGAGTTCAAGAGATGGAAAAAGAGGCCATTCCAGAGAGGGCCATAGTAAGATAAAGAGTGAGACGAAGTCTCTGGGAAACTGCTGTATCCAAAACAAAGGTTATGTGAGCTGTGTCTGAAGTACTACACCCTACTGAGAGAAGATCCAGTTTAAAGTGAAATGACAAAGATACAGATGTCATCACTGGTAACAATGAATCCTAAGAAGTTACAGCAGTGCAATTAAACATTCTATCAGTTAGCAGCACACAAACACATTTCTTGATGTGCCTACAACTGAGAGGCCACAGTACAACTACTACTGCACGACAGGATTGTGGCTGCTATGCTTCTTCGTTAAGGAGGGGCTGACATTACCACTGAAGTGCTTTTCTAGGTTGTGAGCTGTGGGAGTCCACTAGGTTTCCTAGTGGCTGTAACCAGCAGGACTGCATAAGAGGTTGATTGGACTACAGGCTTGAGTATCAAGTGTTTGTAAGGGTCTACACTTGGCTGGACCTAGCTAGCAGGAGGTTCTCTGCCCCTCCATTTGACATTGTTATAAATAGCCCTTTGGAATAAAGCTCTGGGCCAGTGGACAAGGATCCAGGCCCACCCGAGTCTATCCTGTGTTTCTCTCTGTTTCTCTCCCTCTTTATTTCTACCTAAGTCTCTTATGTCTCATTCCTCAAGATTCCCTGGGGTAAATAAATGTGGGGGATAGCCCCCCACAGATGGTGCTACTGAACAGGTACAAAGAAAAAGACAAAGGAAAAAAAACAACCCTAGGGCTCAGTGAAAGGAATGAAGGGGGTGTTTTGAGTGTATGCATGCTGATAAGGAACTGAAAAATGAAGGCAATGGTATTTTATTCTCAGGTGTATAGGGTAGGCAGTGAAATGCTTCAAGGCTAAGGTGTTAGATTTCTCTCAATCTAGGTTTTCTCTCGATCTAGGTTTTCTCTCACCCTATCTATCTATCTATCTATCTATCTATCTATCTATCTATCTATCTATCTACCTACCTATCTATCAAAGTTAAGGAAGGTAGGAAATAGAAATGTACTATAGGAAAAACTTAGAGAAGTAAGGAAAGTAGGATGTCCTTAATTTTCCAACTAAGGGGCTAGGAATGAAAAATCAGAAGAAAAAAATATCTATCAAAAAGCTTAACGGTGAGAAAAAGATTCCTGTGGGAAGCTTTTGGTCCCAAGTGGCAGGGAAAGAATTTTTCTTGAATGCAGGTGAAATAATACTTTCACTCTGCTGATGCTACCACAGTATGGAAACATAGTACCCTCCGAATTAGTTCCCTCTTGGCCATTCAAGCCAAAGTTTAGAGAACAGAAGTTTTGGGAAAACTTGGTGGTCTTTGTCTCTCTTGGGAAAAACTTAATCTCTCTAAAAAACACTTTTCAGAAATTTCATTCTCAGCTTTGCTTTCTGTAAGGGCAAAATTAGATTCACCTGGACCTCTCTGGGAAAATCCCGAGGCAAGGGCCTGATGAGAACACAGGCAGATTCCTTCCTGATGGGAGGGACTGCTGGTATGGGGAAAGCAGTAAAGCCAAGCCTCTCAGCTGCAGCTGCAGCAGCATCAGAATCTCTGTCTGGGGAAGAGCTGAGCCAGGACAGGACAGAGAACTATCCAGGAGAAAAGCTCTCTTTTCTATCAGGGAAAAGAGCTTTCTGAAAGCTTTGTTTCCAGCACATTCAGTTTCCCTCACTGACCTAGAGTGAAGCCCTAAAGGGTTGTTGCCTCCAGAAAAAGAAGAAAAATCTCCCCTTGCAAAAGCGAAATCCTGTAAAGGGAACCAGAAGGTTGCTAGTGTACTCAAAAGGCAGCCTGGGAAATGGAGTATCAATGCAGGCTCCTTTGATAAAGTACGTTACATTGCCTAATAGCTGTGCAAGAGATTTTTGCAAAGAGCTTTAGAGCAGTTCAATAAGAATTTCATCCTCGCCCTGAGGCGAGGCTTCTGTGGTAACTGAGTGAAGTCAATGGCATTTGTCTGAATTGAAGCACTTAGGGGAGCTGTGATGAATTTGGGTAAAGGGACTGCCTCTGGTGAGAAACCATTTGCCAATGAGTACATCTCTGCCTGTTCCAGAATGGCAAAGAGAACTCGGTGGAAAGGTGACTTTGGGGAGTGGTATTGTCCCGACAGTGTTACAACCCCCTAGCAACAAGTGTTACAAGCCCATAGCGACAGTACTCATTAAAATCCCAGGGCTGAGAGAGCCATTGTCAAATTAGGCTCTTGTTTCAAACTCTCAAAAACCTTAAGAATAATATCAAAGCTGACTATAAACTCCGAACTTTACTATAAACTTTGAACTTTAGAAATGATTTGCAAACTTCTGGTTTTGTTAATAGTTTAGCTAAAAAAAACCTTCTCTAGATGTTAAATCTTTTCTAGGTGTTAAGAAATATCTTATAGATGTTTGCTTTAGTGTTATTAGTTCTATGTAAAGTGATAACAGTTAAGGTTTATAAAGCAGACCTACAGAATGTAAGTTTAAAAAAGAAGTGTAAGACTTAGGTAAGGTTTATAAAGTAGTCCTACAGAATATAAGGTTAAATAAGTCATAAGTTTAGTTTGAGAAATGTAGATTTAGATATTTTCAGGTAGAATAAGCTTTAGGTATAAAAATATTGTGTAGGCCTAAATAAGGCTTAGGTAAACTTAGGGTAGAGTAGGTTTTTCCCAACCTGGGATGCAAAAAGCAGTGTCCATAGCAGACTGCAAACTTGGCAGTCTGAGTTGGCTTCAAAAGCTCCAGAATAAAGCCACTTCAGACACTGCCAGATTCAGAAAGCAGCAGCCAGGTGTGTCCACAGCTGAGACCTGTGGAGAGTCATAGCTTCCCAAGAAGCAGACGCCAAGAGCTAGCAGAAGCAGAGCCGGCACTAGCAGCATGAGTCTGCAAGCCTTCTGCCATGAAAAAGCCGTGGTGAGGAGCAGAATGGAGACACCATGCCTCGAGAAAGGCAATCGGCAGGCAGCAGCTTGGAAAGCCCAGCAATGATGCCACAATGCTGGAAAAGTGAACAGTGAACAGCAGTGAACAGCAGAGATGGCAGAGACCAGACTGCTTCCAGGACCAGAGAAGCAATGTCAATACCAGACAAGCAGCTGAAGTGTGCTGGACCCCAGGTAGCTATGGAGGTGAGAGCTGTGGTCCAGGCTGAACAGCCAGACTAGGGGCCCTACGAAAACTGTTGAATGCTCCAGGCTGAACAGCCAGACCAGGGCTCTGTGGGAACTGCTGAGACTGAATGCAGCCCATGCTCCCAGCAGCAGAATGTGACTGGAATCATGGAGTTGCCCTCGGGCTACATTCCTCGGTGCAATAGGACAGCATACAACAGAGCAGCATACGGAGGATTCTGGGATCCAGGATGCTGAGCATGGTAAGATAGGTAACAGGCCCAAGAAAGCCACAGTTCATAGCAGCTGGGTTTTCTTCCCAGAGTCAGAGTTGATGTGGGAAAGCAACGGCTCAGTTCCTAGCAGACACAGGGATCCAGGAACGGCCTGCTTATGGGAGGACAGACAGACCAGGACTATAAAAGCTGTAAAAGGCTAAACAAAAGTTAGAGAGATGCTTGTTTGGGCTGGAATTGTTAACTGCAGAAAGTTGTGAGAAACATTTCTTCAGATTTGAAAATAGAAGTTTGGTACTCTTTTTGAATTTTTCGGACTTAAGAAATGAAATTGACAGTAGTAACTTCATTACAATGGGACAGTTTGAATTTACTTATGCATATAGACTCTATCAACACTGATGATTTATGGAACTGTTTATGTAAAAATGGAACCGCTTAAAAATATCACCATTTATATAGAAAAGTTTGGGTTTTTTTCTAACTTGGCTCGAGAGTTAGTTTAAAATATAAAGAAAAGGAGGAGTGTTAATATTCCTCAGTCTACTTAATTTAAAAAATATTTTTGTGTTACTTGAGTGAATTAATGTTATGCTTTATAGTTCTATTAAGAAATTGTTTTTTGAATGTAGGTTTATAAGAAAGTGTTAATGGTTATATTGAGAGTAGGTCTGTAGAATTTATAATTATGAATAGTAATGTTTATGTTAGAGTCACTATGTTAACCTATTGATATTGACGCACCATGGTTTGGTGAAGTTAAGAAAGTATTGAAGTTTGATGTGAATACATCAGAAGTTTATCCTATGTTTTGTTAGCAAGAAATTCAAATGATTTTATTAAAAGTTTGCTTTAAGATGTTAGATTGAGAGAATTGTAACTATATATAACAATATTTATGTTAGAATTATGTTAATCTGTTAATATTAATGATGAAGCTAAGGGAGTCTTTAAGTTTGGTGCTGTTGCATCAAGTTTTTTTCTTTTAAAATATAAAGAAGAGAGACCTGTTGGAGGCCACTAGGTTTCCTAGTGGCTGTAACCAGCAAGACTGCATAAGAGGTTGACTAGACTACCGGCCTGAGTATCAGGTGTTTGTAAGGGTCTACACTTGGCTGTACTAGCAGGAGGTCCTTTGCCCCTCCCCTTGGCATTGTTATAAATAGCCCTTTGGAATAAAGCTCCGAGCTGGTGGATAAGGATCCAGGCCCACCCGAGACTATCTTGTGTTTCTCTGTTTCTCTCCCCTCTTTATTTCTACCTAAGTCTCTTATCCCTTATTCCTCAAGAGTCCCTCGGGTAAATAAATGTGGGGGCTCGCCCCCCACAGTGAGCTACCAGGCAGAGCTGGAGCACTTGTCCTAAGATTAGGAAGAAACTACAGAAGCCAAACAAACAAAACTATGGCCATGAGTGGGCATGGAAGACTCCCTTCAGCCTAGGAACTTTCTGGAAGGTAAAAGATTCTGGGGAGAGATGGAGTTTGAGAGCAGAGACAACTTCACTCACTCACTCACAACAGAACTATGGGGCACCTGTGATATGTAAGGTATAGAAGTTGGATGTGGGACATGCAGACATGGGTCCCACCCTCTGAAGTCAGAAAAGAGATGCCTAGGAAAGGTCTAAATGTGAGTGGTATTTTAGAGGTGCTCTTTCTGTGTCTAAACATGGAACACTGGTAGTGTAGGGATAAGAAGGCACTCCTTCAGGTATGGTCAGGGAAACAGCAGGCTTGTGGGTGAGGATAAGAGAAGAGGGAAGGACTGGGCCTGGGCTCTGATGGAGAAGGTCTTCAAAAATACAAATAACAAAGATGGTTGCACCATAAGCTTGGGGAGATGGGTTTAGTGAGGCCAGGCTGGGATGTGCAGTCAGTTCCTCTTGGGACTCATAAGCTGATTCTAAAGAGCAATGGACAACTAAAGAGTTTGTAGGAAGAAGTCTTGATAGGATGAATGACTGGAAAGGATCACTTTCACAACAATGTGAAGAGAAACACTTCAGCAAAAGATGGATCAGACATTGAGTGGTAGAAGAGGGATGAAAGACTTCAGTGGCTGTACAGTTATTCAGAATAGATTCCAGGACTTTGAGACCACAGGATGCTGGGGAGCAGCAAAGAAGAGCAGAAAACACCACTGGCAGGTGAAGGAAAACAAAGGAGTCAAAGGCCATTTGCCTTACACAGTCACAGAACAACTGGGTAAGGATGATGCTTACCCAGGTAGAATGTGATACAATGGAAGGGAGGCAGGCTTTACATCTGCAATGGCTCTTCTCCAATGTCAGGCTAAACTTAGCTTCCCTTCTCTGTACAATGGAAACAGATACATACTGCCTCCCCCCACTCATCAGAAGGATTCTTGATGGGATGTAAGGGACTGAGCAGTACTATGGATGAATAGAGCCTCATCCTCTCAGAATTCCCATGCCTTGGCCTCCAGTTCCTCAGAAAGCAAACTTACTTGGAACTGAAGTCATTACAGAGGTAGCAACTTAAGAAGAGGTAACACTAGAGTCAAGTAAGACCTGATCCTTTTATGACTCATTTTCTTATAAAAAGAAGCCCACAAAAGCTCAGACACACAGGGAGAAGGCTAACTGAAGATGAAGTCAGAGATCAGGGTGATGCATCTATAAGTCAAGGAATGCTAAAGACTACAACAAGTGGGCAAAGGCTCTTAAGAGGGAGGCCTGGGGAGGATGGCCAGAGCAGTGTTCAAAGGAGCAACCCTGCCCATAGCTTGATTGTAGACTCTGGCCTCCCAAACCAGAAGTATACTGATAGAAGCCTACCTAACTGGAATGCTTCTGGAAGTTCAAATCAGCAGTGGCTAGCACTGAGAAATACACTGTGCACATAGCCAAATTATGTGTGCTAGGAATGATTAATAAATTTAAAACTAATTGGAAGTAGTTCTCCAACTTTCATTTTGTTAATAGTTTCTCAGGGGGTACCTCTCATTAATTAATGGGCACTAACTTTGGATCACAGGTAATGGGCTCTACTGGGAAACCATGATCAGAGACACAACACCTGCTCTAGTAATCCAGAACACCGATTCTACAGATCTCAAAAAGAAAGCTGGTGTGTGGGCAAAGTGACTCATTCCTACACACACAGATTTCCTCTTTAATATCGTTTTCTCTCACTTTGGACACCAACTTCATTTGTTAACTTGGTATCATTTGTTTTTCTTTAAGACTTACCACAAAGGAGCACAAGTCCTTAAGGACACAGAGTTTTGTTTAGTTTTTGCTTCTTAAACAAAAATATACAGTATTGTCAAGGGATGGTATAAGTCTTAATTTGTACATCAGGGACTGAAGGATGAAATGACTAACTTCCATCTGACAACTCACAGCTTCCCCTACACACACTGTTACTGCATCGCCCTGGGGATCCCCCATTCATGCTTTACCTCTGTCAGCTCCCAGGTGATGCTGATTGTCCAGCAGAGCCCATAACTACGGATCAGCAAGGCCTTCATGGCCCAGCCCCAGAAATGCCCAAATGCAAATATATCAAAGTGACTGACGATCCTCTCCCAGGTGATCACGTGGCAGTTCACAGCATACTCCTGGTTAACATAAAGAGTTCAAACATGATAACTGCTTGCATAACAAATATAAGATTTAAAATTACTTAGAAATATACAATATATTCAAAACTAAAAGTAGAAATGGAACTAACATTCTTAAGTGTTTGAGAACTTTCAGCTTTGAGTTTACGTAATACTGAATACATTTTGGGGTGGGGTCTCTTCCCTTTGAGTGAGTCAGCTCTTATCCAATAAAGCAATTCAGGCTTTCTATCTTCCTCAGCTGTATCTTCTGAGCATTTTCACTGTCATTGGGAATTTACAAATATTCAGCCATGATTTCTTCTTCAGCCCATGGTTTTTAGAAAGTGTTTTTAAATTTCTAAGTGTACTTGATTCCTTATGTTTCATTGCTAGCTTTTATTCTCAGTGGCCAGGTACATGTGACATCACTTTTTAAAGATATGTTGAACCTTTACCAAATTACTTTCTTTCCCATTTTATCAGTGTTGCAACTGTCATTTAGAAACTACCAATTAAAACCCTCCTTATACTAACTCACTTATAAAATGACAAATTACTCTACTCCTTTTGCTATAAAAGACTTTTCTAAATTGAACAGGAAATGTATGAGTGCTGGAGTCCTATCAAGATCTCATTCACTGCAGGAATCCTAGAGGCAAGTTCCCAGATCCTGCAGCAATGTGTTCTTGTTACAAGGTCTTCCTGGCTGACAGAGAAAAAACCTGGAGCTAAAGCCACTTGTCTATTAATTTAAGGAGAGTGACAAGGTGCCACCAGCCCAGAATTCCTCAACCTCTCACCCTATGATTACTCTGCTGCTTAGGGCTAGGTAAGGACCTAGGTTGGGAGTGTCTATTTTCAGTGGCCACTCTTAGCATAATCATAAACTGGAAGTGCTTCTGGGGGATTTGAACATACATTTATGCTTTTATTACAGGAAGACATTTAAAAAAGTATAAAAAGCAAAGTTGCATATCCTGGCATTAGAATTTTAAAAAGTAGATTAACCAATGAATCACCTCCAGAGGCCCTAAATTAATCACTTTCAGAGGCCCCAGAGGTCCTTGCTGCAGGGTAGGCATAGCAGTTTGGCTGCCTCCTCTCTCCCAAGGGATAGGTCCCAGAATACACGGAGGATACTAGATTTGCATATCCCTCATATAAAACGAGTTTTTGCATAAAACCTATGCACATCCTCCTATATACTTTAAGTCATTTCTAGGTTACCTAACACAGTACAAATGTTCTGAATGGTTTGGGGAATAATGACAAAAAAATAGTCTGTACATGTTTAGTAAAGTGGTAATTTTCCCTTCTGAATATTTTTGATCTGAAGTTAGTTGAACAATGGATAACAAAAATGGCACTAACTATGATGTAGCACCACAATAAGAATGGAGCAGGAGGGTGGCATCCCATCTGTCTTAGGGTTTCTATTGCTGTGAAGAGATACCACGACCATAACAACTCTTATAAAAAAAAAAAAACCATTTATGTGGGGTGGCTTACTTACAATTTCAGAAGTTCCATGCATTATCATCATGGCAAGGAGCATGGCAGCATGCAGGCAGATGTGGTGCTGGAGGAATAGCTAAGAGTCCTACATTTTGCAGGCAACAGGGAGCCAACTGAGACACTGGGCAGTATCCTGAGCATAGGAACCTCAAAGCCTGCCCCTACAGTGACACACTTCCTCCAACAAGGACATACCAACTCCAACAAAGCCACACCTCCTAATAGTGCCACTCCCTATGAGATTATGGGGGCCACATTACCCAGACTTCTGGAATCTGAAAACAGCTGCACACCTTGTCTGGCTTAGCAATAATTACCCAGCACTAGAAATAAGATTGTAAAAGCTAGTTGCAGCTATTGTGGAGCTGTGATTGTGGTGTTAGATTTCTGAAGAAGTGTCACAAACATTATTGGATTCAACTTGCTCCCAAAGGCCATGAGGCCTGTGACAGAAACATCAACACAACCTCCTTTGAGTCGGCTTTCTTTTGATCAAGCCTAAAAAAGCTGCCTTAGAAAATATTTTATAGTGGTATTTGCTCTGCCCATGACCTTGGGCTATATGGCCCAAAGGAGGTGGTGCTTCCTGCCTTGTACATGACCTCTTATAAGGAAAAGGAGAAGGCTCCCTGCTCGTGCCTGTGAGGTGGATTCGCTCTGGGTCAGATCAGAGGATGATGACCTCTGCTGTCTACTCTGTTCTGTAATTGTGAGTGTATTTCCTCAATTTATATCTTAATAAATTCTGTTACCCATTTAATAGACTCACATGGATTGACCATAATAATATTTTATCTACAATATACCTTTCTTCTACTTCTAAGACTGATATGAGCATGACCATCCTTACTATAATGCTACACTTGAAGCACAGTCAGAATGAAAAGTACAGGTTTTGAAGCACAAAGAGCTTTGTACTTTGAGCAAGACAGTATTAAAGTTTCTCTTTCCTCCTCCGTAAAATGGTATGAATAGCTGACCTGTGTGTGAGGATTATATTGAATATAGAAAATGTCCAGTATAATGTCTAGCAGAATAAACTACAATCATCATTTGAATTATTGCTACAGCAGGAGTCTTGAATATTCTCCAAAGGTTCTTACATTAAAGGCTTAGTTGCCAACTTAGGCTACTGGAAAGTGGTAGAAACTCTCAGAGGTGCAGCCTAGAAAAAGGCTTTAGGCCACTGGGGACATGTACTCCAAGAGGATTGTGGAATGTCGGTCCTTTATTGTTCTCTGGTTACCATGAAGTAAACAGTTTTCCTGTCATGGTGCTCTGCCTTGTCACAGGCCCAAACAGCAAGGCCAACCAACCAGACTGAAACCTCCGAAATAGCAAAATAAATAAAGACAGGGTCATTATACTACATAGCCCTGGCTGTCCTACAACTCACTACTTAGACCAGGCTGGCCTTTAACTCAGAGATCTGCCTGCCTTTGCCTCCTAAGTGCTGGGATTAAAGGTTTGAGCCACCACATCCAGCTCTCCCAGATGTTTTGTAATCACAATGGAAAGTTAACATAATCATCATCATCACAAACAATTAAGTTATCCTTGTTATTCTTTTCCTTGAGAGTGAGAAATCCTAACTAGGCTTCTAAATAATTTCTCCTCTTGTTTTTGCTTTCGCTGTGTACCCTAGGAAAGTTAAGATAAACATTTAGAAGTATCATCCCAAAAAGGTCGAGCCATTCTGTGATGATGATTCCTTCCTGATCTTTTAAGCTCTTTGTTATTTTTTAATTGACAGAGCAAATGTCTGTGCTCCAATGCCTATTCTTTCTCCAGAACATCACAGCTTTTCCTTCAACCTGTGTTGGGTAGTAGGCATTCAAAACACTAAAAGACAATATCAGAGTAAAAAACAATAGCTACTGACTTTGGTTTTAGCCCCTGGCTCCCTTGCAGTTTCCTGAGGAGAAAGGGTACTGAGATCTTTTGTACTAGTGGTCTTTGACCTGTTTTAGAGGGAGTTCATAATGCCTTGGAAACCTCAGAGTGTTGGAGTGTCTCCGACTCTAATAAGTCAATATTTGGTGGCTCCTGGGCAGGTGAGAGCTCAGTACTCAAAAGACAAAGAAGTATTAGAAACCAAATTTCCAGACCCACCTTGCATCCTGTGACAAAACCTCCATGAAAGCCCCTCAACTGTAGGGTTTGGAGAGCTTTGAGGAGAGTGACACATTTGCATACTGGGACTGTGGTACACCTTACCTCTAAAGGGACTGAAGTTGCTGCATTTGGAACCCTGCCAGCCATCAAATCAAGTACCTCTTCTCTTGCCATTCATCTGCATCTCATACCATATCCCTTTAAATAAATTGGTAAAATGGATCCCTGAGTCCTGCAGGCTGAAGTCATGAAGACAGTGCAATGCTTCTATGTGTGGCTGCGTATTCAGAAACACAAACGGCAATATAGGTTTGTGATTCACATGGAATACAGTCTTGAGGACTGACTTCTTAGTTATGGGGACTAACAGTTCATGAACATAGTGTTGCTGGTGTCAGAAGAGATGGAGAACTGAATAGTTTGGGAAAAAATCAAAACATCTCATCACAGAAATGATCGCTGTGAGTATAAAGATTTTTCCTCCCAAATATATAGTCTTATCAATAAAAGAAAGTAAAAATAATAGTTGTTTTAGCTGACACTAAAAAGGGTTCACACATGCGTGTTCTAAATACATAACAAAATTTGCCCCGTTGTGCACGCAGGTAGAAGGACTATACCATCAGGCTTCAGGCACAATAGCAGAAGTACTAAGCATGATCCTGACTGGTACAGCAGTAGTTGAAGAGACCAGTGTGTGCCAAGCACTGTGCGGGCCTTGTGGGATGCTTAGACATCATTACTCTGTTCAGTTCATAATAAGCCCTCCCCATCTACCACATGCATTACCATTTTCACCTTGCAGAATAGATAAGTGATACAAGCAGAGTTCAGGACCAAGGCCATGTGATGGGAGTGTGTGCAGTATGTGTATTCTTCTTAGCATACACCCTTGTTTCATGAGAGGTTTTCATTTTCCTGGATGACATCACTTTGGAAAATCCACATAACAGTGCACCCTGAGATCCAGTTTTTAGCTATACACCCAGGAAATAAGGAAAGGGATCAACTTAAAATGTGGACTCTATATCCTGTACCCAGGACCCTACCAAATTCACAACAGGGCCACTAACAAGTACATACCATGATGTCCGCTTCTCTTGTTGCATATCGAAGATTGGGATCTAGCCAATACATTAGGGATTTAACCTGCTCGAAGTTCAGGAAAAGGAGAAAGACCAAGAAGAGGAAGTACAGCACACTGAGGCCTGATGGAAACAAAATAAGGTCAAGTTTAGGAAAGACACACATTAGACCAAGTGGTTTGGAGTTAGAGTATGCATGAATATCATAATGTAGCCTTTTGAGAATTTATCATAGCCAGGTATTTTCTTGGGTGAGAGGATCTGACACACACAGTCCTAACTCAGGTTGAGAGGGATTCTTCTCTCTGAGGAAATGCTACTTAAGCTAAGCCTTGAAGGACCAGCAGCCAGATAATGTGTAAGGTGGATTTGGGGGAGCATGAAGTAGAGAAAGGCCATGAAAATATGTCCCTGAAGAGAGATATCTCACTGTGAGGCTGCGGTGATGGTAGAGAGGGGGATGAACTAAGGGGTATTGAAGTGACAGGATTAATTTCCTTCCAAGGTCAACGGAGAAAAAGATGACAAAACAAGGCTTTATGAAGGTGAATGAGCAGACTACAAGGGGGTCACACTTTCAAATTCTATCTGAGACTTATCCTTCACATTAGCCCTGACAAGTACTATTTTTTTGTCATACCTATCATAATTGCTATCCTAAATAACAAAACACGATGTCATTTAAAAAAGTAAATCCAGCTGGGCAGTGGTGGTGCATGCCTTTAATCCCAGCACTCGGGAGGCAGAGGCAGGAGGATCTCTGTGAGTTTGAGGCCAGCCTGGTCTATAGAGTGAGTTCCAGGATGACCAGGGATACACAGAGAATCTCTGTCTCCAAAAAACCAAACAAATAACAAAAAAGTGAAGCCACTAATACACTACAAGGCAAAAGCTTGTATGTTACTTTTCTAAAGGACTTGACACTGCCTGCCCTGTCACCAGAAGGGACTGCCATTTCTTCTGCTGAGCCTACTGGAGTTAGATCGGTGATGCAGGCATCCCGGCACTGTCAAACTTATCACCTGGAATCACAAACTTGGCTTAGCTCTGATCTCTAAACAGTCACCCCGGAGAAGAGGATGTGTGTATCTGGAATGAATCCATTACAAGGGCTGCAGCCCCAGGCCTTCTAGCTCAGCCCCTCTCTACTCACCAAGGGGAACACTGCACTGAGGCCTCCTGTAGAGCAGGGCCAACCCAGCCACACATCCCAGGGCCAAGGAACATAAATTTTCTGATACATGAGAACTACCTTGGGTTTGCAATTTGTATACCAGTTTTATAAATTTTCATCTTTAATGAACCCCCCCCACTATAATATTTTAAAATTACAATCTTTGTTGAACAATTCTTTTAAGAGAGAAAAAAAATGACCTATGACACAGAAATGTTTAGACTACAGTTTGGGGATGTGCATTGAGGACTATGAAACCATGGCTACTACAGCAAAAATTGTGTGTGTGTGTGTGCGCGTGTGTGTGAGCATGCATGCTGGGGAAGGCTTGGGGTACTGGGGATAAACAGGTCCATAAACTTGTGAAGCAAGCACTTTATCAACTGAGCTACCTTTGTAGCCCCAGGAATATTTTTTTCAAGTAGTAAATAAAATCCTTCTAGGAAAATGTTCCTGATGTCCTTTGCACACCACACTCTTCACCCCACCCACAAGTCTGAATGTTTCCGTCTATGCTGGCTCTCCGCTCTTTTGCCTACCTGAGCCTGTAAAATGCCAAGTACTTCCAGACATGAGACCACCTCAGCAGCCTCTTTACCTAAGGCCCTGCTCCCCCACTGTGCTACATGCACAGACCTTGAGTTACATCCAAATTTTAGATTGAGTCACTCCCTCAGGCCTCCCCTCATTACTCCAGTGGAAGCAGCCACTTGGTCACTGTCACTTCACCCGGCTTGAACTAGCTCGTACTTAGTAACAATTGCTGACGATTGATTACTCTAATAGTTTACTCCCTATTGCTGTCCTCTGGTCCTGGAAGAGAAGCTCCCAAGGACACGGTCTTAATTGTCTTATTCTCCTGGATAGCCTAGATATTCAAATCTGTCACATACTCAGTGAACACAGCTGGTAAGATGAAGAGAACCCCAGCACTCAGAGGAATCTCTACAGGTTCAAGGCCAGCTTGATCTACATAGTGAGATTCAGGACATCCAGGACTACACAGATCTGTCTCAAAACAACAAAACAAAAAACAAACAAAGATGAAGAGTTACCTTTACTAGCTGAAGGATGTAACAAGGAGGGCAAGTTTAGCAAAATATCCTCTTACATTTCCAAGCATGGTTAAACTGCCTTAACTTACAAGAATTTATTGTATGGCTTACTTGGGCAGGTTGAAGACAAATATTCTAAGTATTAAAAATTTATCTTATACTCACTCAGGCCATTTGACTTTCTGAATTTCAGAATCAAGTAACAATAAGACTCAATATTTATAAGGTTAATAACAAACCAGACCAAATGAAGGCTCTGTATACCAGAAGAGGTTTCACTTTTCCAAATTCCTAGAAACTGCACTGCTGGGCTTCCACAGACAAGACAAATGTGTTCCTAACATGACCTTGAGCTTGCACTAGTAGAGGAAACAAGTCAGAAAACAGGGTCTTTGCTGAAGCCAAGCTCTGAAATAGGAAATAAAAGCATTAGTGCAGGCACATGGAAAGGGTACTTATCTATGTGTGAGAATTTGTGCTATCACCAACCACTTATTTTTGATCAAAGAATCTTAGCAACATTTTTTTGTATTAGGTACACTAAAAAATTGGTTGGTTTGTTTTGTTTTTAAGCTACAATATAAAACCACCATCATGATACACAGAGAAAAGATTTTTGTTTTGTTTTGTTCTTGTTTTTTTGAGACAGGGTTTTTCTGTGTAGCCTTGGCTGTCTTGGAACTCCCTCTGTAGACCAGGCTAGTCTTGAACTCACAGAAATCCACCTGCCTCTGCCTCCCAAGTGCTGGAACTAAAGGCGTGTGTCACCATTGCCTGGTGAGAAAAAAAAATTTTAAAGTAGAAAGAATTTTGTCATCTACTAATGGGACTCACCAAAAACCATTCGCCATAAGGCTGGATGCGGTCGAGTAAATGGACCTGCAAAGAGAGGACATGAAGTTAGAATAAACTGGATTGAGCCAGAAAAGAAAGCTCTGTTGATCTACATACAGGTAACAATAAGAAAGGCTCTCCACTGTTAATTTTCATTTTCTCTTTTCTTTCCCCACACCTTTTCAAACAGGCTTCTTAACCTTGAAAAACATGCCAAGAGGGAGATGCCAGGCAGGACTTTCTTCCCAGCCTGTTACAGCATAGGATCTGCCTTCAGCTGCCCACTGCTGGAACTGACCCCAGGAGCTGGTGACAAAACAAGGAAGGATCCACAGCTATCTTCGGTGTTTCTCCAGCTCCAGCCAGCACAGGTAGTGTTGGTCAGTGGCACCCTCACATGGGAACTGAAGGTCATGACACGGATGGCTCCAAGTGGGGTTCAATGAAGAAGTAGCAGAGTACAACCTGGTTTTGTTTGTTTGTTTAATATCCAATGCGCAAAACAATCATGTCAAGCAGGTGTTGTGAGCAGGTTTGAGGAACAAGATGAGGAAACAGGCTTAGAATGATGAAGTAGTCTGCATCCAGCCACACAGTCTGCCAATAGTGTAAGTACAGTTAGATTCTGAAGCTTCTCAGTCAGGTCTAGAGTCACTGAGATGCACAGTCATGAGAGGTCACAGGGTCAAGGGAAGGTCTTTATTACAGAATATACCCAGGGCCCACAAAAGCTAGAAGAGCCACTGGAAGGTCCTCTTCTAAGAAGTCTCATAACTAACTGCAGATTCAAATGGACTCCATCTCACCCCAGTGACGGGATGGTTTAGTTAAAATTAAACTTGCACTTGACAATTATTTGCTATCCTGGGATAGAGGTAGAACTTAAAAGCGTCAAGGTTTAGTTGTTGTTTGTTTGTTTGTTAAAGGAAACAAAGAAGAATGGAGACTAGAAAAGGAGGAGGTGCATCGTAGGGGATGTGAAGTAGACACCATACGCCTCCTTCCCTGATCTCCCAAGGGCTCTTATACTACACCTCCTTATAGAATGATGTCTCCCTACAGGACTAGGAAGAAGCCTAGGAACCAAATCCTGCCACAACTACCCACTGACAAGGGATTCCCGTGAGTGTCCACCCCTCTCTCATTTAACTCAGGTGCACCCTAAACCACCAGAGGTAATCCTAGTCCCCTGAAAATGTTCAGTCAGTATACACCTATTAGACATCTGTATGCCCACTGGCCTCTGGGTATTATAAATCCCTGTCCTCAGGACTAGGCAAGAGAAGTATATGCCCCAATTCTAACCCAAAAGACTTGAGAACAAGTACACTAAAGAGCTTCCAGGAAATAATTTTTCAAGCTCAGTGTCATGGCACAAGCTTATAGTCTAAGAGCACAGGAAGTGGAGGCAAGAGGATTAGGAATTCAAGGCCAGTCTGGGCTACATAACTAGACCATGTCTCAAAAATCAAAAGCAGGAGGCTAGGTAGGTGGCTTAGTGGGTAACCATTTGTTAGGCAGATGTAAGGACCTAAGTTCATATCCCAGAAAGCTGATTGCAACAGCATACATTTATAATCTCAGGGTTCCAATGCTGAGATGGGAGACAGAGACAGAAGAATCTCCAGAAGCTCACAAGCCACATACCCTGACATACGCAGTGGTAAACAACACAGAGAGCCAACACCTAAGGCTATCACTGACCTGCACTCACCCATAGATAGCAACAAGGGCACATAAATGCACACCCATTACACACACAAAGATTTTTGAAAATCTAAAACAAGTTGTTTCACTCATAACAACATAGAAAACCACCTAGGCTCATCTGCTGCTGGACAATACTCACCCTGGGTGTCTGCTGAAGACCACCTGGGTGGAAAGGCCCAAGGTTAACCGCTCACAAAGACAGTTGGGACTCTACAGCCACTTGCTGCATTATCCAAGCTCAAGGGCCTCTCTGAACTCAACATTATATAAGAGTCAACAATTCCCTTATCCTTTAAGCTATTCCGAGGAGGATTTTCTAGTACTCAATTTACTCAGGCCCTACAAAAAAAAAAAAAAAAAATCAGAGCCCTGTCCGTAGACCGAAACTATAACACTGGTGTCGTATCTGAATTCACACATGCAAGATGAAGCACATGGTCATGAACACAGACTGACTTACATACAAGCATTTGGAACAGCCTTTCATAGGTCAAGGACAAATACCTATGAAGGGGTATGCTATACTTGAAGGCATGTCCCCAAATGTCTTTGAAGGAAAACATGAGTTTGGGACTCCCACTCTCACATTCGTTTTCATTACTTCACTTGGGAACATGAGACAAGGGTAAGAAGAACAGAATAAGGTAACAACACTAGAGCCAGAGATGAGTCATGTAATATATACTCTACTTGAGAATGTACCCTTCTATGGTGCCTTCCGGGAAGGCCAGTAGCCTGAAAGCTGGAGCTAAGGGAAAGGCTGCAAACTCTCTGAAGGGACCCCCAAAGCTATTTCTTCTTTTTTTTTTTTTTTTTTTAAGATTTATCTATCTATTTATTTATTTATTTATTTATGTGTTTATTTATGTATGTGTGTATTTATTTGTTTGTTTGTTTGTTTGTTTATTATGCATATACAGGCCAGGAAAGGGCACCAGAGCTCATTATAAATGGTTGTGAGCCACCATGTGGTTGCTGGGGATTGAACTAAGGACCTCTGGAAGAGCAGCCAGATGCTCTTAACCACTAAACCATCGCTCCAGACCCTAAAGCTACTTCTAAAGCATTCTTCCACATGAAAAAATGAGTTCTACAACCTATGTAAAGTGTGAACAAGTGACCTTTAGAAAACAAATTATGTAAACATGTGTGCTATGTAAGCATGGCTTCAAGAGAATCCCACAGCCTGCCTTCCCGATGCTATGGTTTGGTAAGTTTTGTCCCCTGGAAGCTCTGGAAATGCATGCTGAAATCTGATTGCTTCCTTGGATGACTGCTGTTGTGGTGGTGTTGGGAAGAGGGGCATTTAAGAGGTGTTTGGATGATTAATGCAGCTCTTTAGTTATTTAGTTATTGTTAATTAATTAGTTAATGGGTTTGAGCCTGTGTTATTTATCTGAAGTGTAGGTTATTATAAAGACATCTGCAGCTCCTGTTTTATCTCTTCACAGGAAAGTTCAGAACAATCTTCTAGCTTCTTCCAATCATAGACCATCTGCAGGTAGCAGAGTAGCACCATACCTAACCTTCACCTGCCTTCTGCAATATCCAAAGCAGTCTATGCATAGGTCAACCAAGTCCACACTATGGGAAAAGAAAAGCTGACAGTAAGGAAAAGAAACAGAAGGAAGGGAAACATACTACACAACCAGGTGAAGGCCCCACATAATGCACCTAATAAGAGAGATGAGATGGCTGGAGCAAGGCTGAGGAAGGAAGATGCAGACCCAGGCCTGAAAGCCAGGCAGACAGGGCCAGGCAGGCGACCTCTGATGATGACCCTGGTGGTCACAGGTTTCAGCTTTCTCATCTATAAACTGAGTGGGCTGAACTAGATGAGCTGTAGACTGGTGTTCCTCTCTTCATATGGACTATAGAGTGTGCATGGCTTAGCTAAGAATAGGTCATAGATAGGGACCAACAGCACAGGTTTACCTTCCCAAATCAGAACAAAAGCACAGTCCCATGAGGAGGGAGGGCACAACTGGAGGGCTTTACTGGAGAATGGAGGAAAACCCAGAAGTCACACCAAATGTTACTTCCAATAGACTTAATCTCTCGACCTCCATGCCTTTGGCATCGTTGAAAGAAACCCTGGTGCCCAGTTACTGAAGAAGTACCAGGAAAGATACACTTGGTAATCAGTGCTATTGAGACTCACCTCAAATTTTCAGAAAGCTCTGGACTCAAAATAACCAGAAAACACACAAACAAATATACCTTCAAGTCATGAAAATGTGGCCACTGAGAACTAAGCTATATTTATATACTACCTTTAAAAGACAATATTAGTCTCACAGAACAGGGGAGACATTCACAGCTGGCTACTTCAGCAACATTCCAACTTGGCACCCTTGAAGGAAACAAGTGGCTGTATAATGACCAAGGGTTCCTTCTAAGCTTAAAATCCGAAGACCATGAATAATACATATATGGGAGGAAAAGGAAAGCTGGTAGAGCCAAAAAAACATTTGACAGTGGGGACTGTTCTTAGAAAATTTTACAGCCAGGTCAATAATGTACATCTTGTCTTCCTATCCTAGTAATTGTGAATAATCATCAAGAAAAAAAAATTAATTACATCTGCATAAGGTTTGTAGGCTTTCATATAGTGTAAGATTTCCACTAAAGTTAATTTAATTTAAAAGCTGAAGTTGGGGCTTGAGAAATGGCTCAGCGGGTAAAGAAGTTGTCCCCAAAGTGTGAGGACCAGAATTCAGATTCCCAGCACCCACATAGCTGCCTGGCAGGCATGATGGTCCACCAGTAATCCTAGCACAAGTGGTAGAGTCAGGGCATCTCTGGAGGAATTGGCAATCTCTGGGTTCAACTGGGAGACCAGCTTCATTATATGAGATGGACAGTGATTGAAGAAAACACCTGATGTTGACCATTGACCTCTGGCCTCCACTCTACACACATATACTTGTGAATGCATACACACAAGCACACAAACACACAAATGCAAACAAATTCAGGCTAAAATGTTAGGAAAGTTAAACTCAGCTTCCAAGTAACAGGGCCACTTAGAATTCCTTCTTGAAGAAACTCAGAGTTGTGGGTCTACTGTCTTGACTTCTATTACTACCAGCAAAAACTACCATAATTTTATAAACACAATGCTACACAGGAGAAGCAAAACAACAAAACAAAATTCAATTGCCATCAGTTTAGGAAACCTAAAGGCCTTTGTCATAGACCATGTCCAATAGCATGCAGTATCATTTAGAATGAGATTCCTATGCCATACAGAGCAATCTACCAAAGCATGGGCACCCACATGATAAATACATCTTGAAGGATACCATTTAAAATCTGAGAAGATCTGCTGCATAACCCATAAGGAAGACTGCCAAAAATCTCAGAGGTGTGAGAAAAATACAATATACTGAGCATTTAGAAATGGGTACAGAGCCGGGGTGGTGGTGGCGCACGCCTTTAATCCCAGCACTCGGGAGGCAGAGCCAGACGGATCTCTGTGAGTTTGAGGCCATCCTGGACTACCAAGTGAGTTCCAGGAAAGGCACAAAGCTACAGAGAGAAACCCTGTCTCGGAAAAAAAAAAAAAAAAAAAAAAACCAAAACCAGTTTTGCCGGGCGGTGGTGGCGCACGCCTTTAATCCCAGCACTCGGGAGGCAGAGCCAGGCGGATCCCTGTGAGTTCAAGGCCAGCCTGGTCTACCAAGTGAGTTCCAGGAAAAGGCGCAAAGCTACACAGAGAAACCCTGTCTCGAAAAACCAAAAAAAAAAAAAAAAAAAAAAAAAGAAATGGGTACAGATAGCCAGGCAGTGGTGGCACACGTCTTTATTCCCAGCACTCGTGAGGCAGAGGCAGGCGGATCTCTGTGAGTTCGAGGCCACCCTGGGCTACAGAGTGAGTTCCAGGACAGGCTCCAAAGCTACACAGAGAAACCCCGTCTAAAAAAAAAAAGAAATGGGTTCAGAGAACTAGCACAGAATTTTCTAGAAAGGAGGTATGGAAAGGAATTAAGAACAAAATATAGCAATTTATAAGGAACACTTCAGAGGGAAAGTATGAGTTACTTAGAAGAATACAAGAAAGGTATTGCTTCTTTCTTTCTCTAATCCTGACAGAGCAGGTCCAGATTCATCAAATTTCTGCTCAATCCAAATGCACAATCAGCAAAGATAATTGTGATAGCAGGTGCCAAATTGACTCATTGGAGCTAGTTCTGCCAAGAAAAGAGAGAGAGAGAGAGAGAGAGAGAGAGAGAGAGAGGAGAGAGAGAGAGAGAGAGAGAGAAAGAGGGAGGGAAAGAAAAATAGTAACTGAGTACTGTACAGCTGTTAATAATAAAAAACATCAAGGAAAAGAACAGCTAAGCAGGACACAGCAGTGTATGCCTGTAATCACTTGTGATCCCAGCACTCAGGAGGCCAAAGCAGGAAGATCAAGCAGTCAAGGCCACACTGTGCTGTCTAGCCAATTCCAGACAGCTTTGGAATACATATGGAGATCTTGCCCCCAGCCCCAAAACACAATTACCTAACAAACAAACAAACAAACAAACAAACAAACAAAAAGAACAGTTATAGAGAGCTTAGCATGCATCAGAGTTTGCACCAGGTTGGCTCCCAAGGGTTCATGTGGAGGAATTATTAAAAGGTAGTGAAAGCTGTAGGAGGCAGGATCTAGTGGGAAGTCATGAGACAATGCACTATGATGCAAAGGCAAGAAGCCTCACCAAAAGTCAGTAACATATAGAATGGATTTCAGCTTCCAACCTGTGAATTTCAAAACCTCCATTCTTTATGACGTATATAGTTCTAAGTATTTTTTATAGCAATAAAAAACAAGCCAACACATGGGTTTAATATTATTAATTTAGTTAGCTCTCACAATATCTGCCTGTTATCCCCATCACACAGCAGAGAAACTGAAACACATTTAAGGACAGTAGGGGCCACAGAGCTGAGAGGAGGCAGAACAGGCAGTCTGCCTACGAAGTCTGTGCCCATGACTGCTATACAAAACCCATCTTATAGATGACTTGCATTTTAAAAAGTCAGGAGGGCATGATGCATAGGAGAACTACAACAGCTCAGGACATTACTTACCATTGGGGAATGCTAACACACTGATGATGAGGAAGAAGAAAATAACTGAGAGGATGCCTCTCCAGATGTTGTCTTCAGGAACAGAGTCATCCCTGAAAATAGAAAACACTGAGAATTCATTCTCAGATCTAAGCAGGAAACCAAACAGTAGTATGCTTTCCACAGTCTAACACCTGGAGACAGCAGATTTTCTTTTGCTGACCGAAGTCACTACACACAGTTTACTGCTTAGTGTCACTTCCTAAAACCAACACTCTCATAATAAAGCCTAGTTCTTACAGGAAAGGCAACTGGGGGCTGAAGGTACAGCTCAGCAGTGCTGTGAGTATTTAGCACACACAAAGCTTGTCTCCACCACCAAAATTATATTAAATAATATATAAATAAAACCAATCATCTTAAACACCAACATACATTCTATTCAAACATGCATTTGAGACTCACTGTTCTTCAAAGACAAAAACAAAACCCCAAGATGTGAAAACACAAGGTTCGTTTTTGAGAAATGTCTTTTGATGACAAAAACAATAAAAGATGCACTTGGTTGATACAGGAAGGGGCAAGAAATTTTTCAAAAAGTCAGAATGGAACAAGAGATCACCAGGAAGGCAGCAATGTAACAAGATTATATCAACTACTCTTGAAAATGGGAAGCTGGGGATTTATAGGATGTAGGAAGAGGCATGAAAACAGGTAACAAGAAAGTGACCCGTAAAAAGAAAATCAAGGAGGAGAAAAAAAAAACCACAAGATTTAAAATCAGAGCAGAAGCAGAATGATAAAGAAGGAAATGGCTACCCTTCTTCCCAGGCACAGCCTTTCTAACATCACCTGTCTATTGCCCCATCATCCCAGTGATTGGCCTGGTCCCTTCAGTGGTCAATGTGTTCCCTGTCTACCTTGCCAGAGCATACTTTTGAAATAGGGACTTATTCCCTTCCATTCTTGGGACCTTACACATGCTACACACTCAACAGATATTGCAGACTTACAGTTTATAAGGAAGAGCTACTATGCAAACACAATGTTGGACACTTTATGTTGAAAGAGCAAGACAGACAGACTGACAGACAATGACTGGCAGCATATATGGGACTCAAGAAAAGCAAATGCAAAGGGAGAAATAGAAACATAAGACAAGAAGGAGTTTTCCTGAATTATTGATAATTTCTGAGAAGCTTGGGAGAGGAAAGTTCAGCATTGCAGTTTTTAAAACTCAGAATGAGTAGGCAGAAAGTACGACATGAAACAGAATGGAAGGCAATATTTTAAAGACAAGGAGACAAGTAGCAAGCAACTAAAACTGATTAAAAAAAAAAAGATGATGAATTTGTACTGAGCAGTGGTGGTGCATGCCTTTAATCTCAACACTTGAGAAGCAGAGGCAGAGGCACGTGGATCTCTGAGTTCAAGGCCAGCCTGGTCTACAGTGAGTTCCAGGACAGCCAGGGCTACATGGAGAAACCCTGTTTCAAGGAAGAGAGAGAGAGAGAGAGAGAGAGAGAAGAAAGCAACAGCAGCAGCTGAATTTATATAGTGAAAAGCATTACTGAAGGAAAAATAAGAGATAAAAAAATCTTAGAAGGACCAGCAAGATGGCCCAGTTGGTAAAGGCTCTTGGTGTGCAAATCTTTGATGCCCAGAACCTATACAAAGATGGAAGGAGAGATCAAGATTGTCCTCTAGTCTCTACATACATGCTGTGGCACACAAGCCCACATACACTGTGTGCGCGCACTCTCTCTCTTTCACACAATAAAGAAATTTTAGAAATTTTAGGGGAAAAAGTTTTCACACAAAAACAAGTCTGAGTCATCAGAACATTAAGAAACAAGGAATGAAATAATGAGTTACCTTGATAAGGACCAAGTCCTTGGATATTGGTTTAAAAAACAGAAGTTAAGTTAGATGCTAGCTTCTATGCAGGCAGCTAAGTTTCTGCCAGCAAGCCATCAGCTTCTAGAGTTAGGACAGGGCCGAGCACAGATTCTGAGATGAGATCATGCAGTATTTCCTAGACTGTCCTCTGTGCCGAGTAGTGTAACAAACGCCAGTTCCTTCACAGAGCATACTCCAATGCCAAACCTCAGAAGCCAACGGATCTCATAGGCCAGCACTGTGCAATTTTATTTTAATGGACACCCCAATAATTTACTGACCACCACATCACCTTAAAAATGCCAGCTTGGTCCTTATAAGGGAACTTGCAATGCCCTTTGGCTGAAGCAAGGAGGCTCCATATTCTCTTTCTAGGGTACTAGGTCTCACTGAAGAATGGCTGTACAGGAGGAAGACAACATCTTCATTCAAAACAACACCCCACTGCCCTTGCTGTGAGATGGTGACAATAACAGCCCCTCTATCAAGAATCTACTGTGTATTAAACACTTGACAGACAGTTAATTAACACTATTGCTAATTTTCACAGCCAAATGCAAATAGATATTATCAACCACATCTTAAAAATGACACAATTGCTCAGAAAGGTTGAATAATTTTTCCCACAGCTGCACAGGTTAGAAGATGCAGCGCTGGCACTGGAACCGGGGCTGCTAGATTCCCAAGGATGATGCTTCCCCTATGCCCAGCTGCTGGGAGGGTTTTTCCTGACCCAGGAAGTCAGTGTGAGTCATGACAGAGGCAAAGAGTTGGCAGGAAGGACTTTGACAGGCGCATTATATATGTGCTACAAGTTAAACTCCAGGGTAAAATTAATCACTGTTGTATGAAAAAAAGGGGGATTCCATAATTCATACTTTACTCCAAAATATTGTGTATTATTAGAAACTAAGAGGGGGGTGTCTACTAGAAAATTTGATTAATTGAAAACAAGTCAACCACCTCAGAGTGGAAAGTTTCCTAAAGTACAGCACAACACACAGAAACCATGAGCAAATAATAAATCAGCACAGCAATAAAGTGAAGGAAACCAAAGCAGTAACGGGAGCTAAGAAGATCTACATGTGAGGAAAGGACCTGTGGTTCATATGAAGACAATGGGCTAGGTGTTCTAACATGGAAAGCATTCCTTCAACAATCAATTAACAAAGCATAACAAGCATAGCAAAATCAACAGGAAAATGGGGAAAAGAGTTGTGAAGAAATTATCAATTGGCAGAAAATGAAAGACACTCGTGGGAAGAGATGGACAAATTAAAGTAACATCAAGAGACCACTTTTTTATTATCTAAGCAGGGGAGGCTATGAAGAAATAGGTAAGCAAGCACCCTATGCATTAATTGCAGTTGTATGAATTTACAGCTTTTATGGAGGGTAACTGGGTAACATTCTATACTTACAACCACATATATCCTGTGGCTCAGCCATTCTACTCTGGGAACCTCTACTTCAGACACACTCTTGTGAATGTGAAGTGGCATGTGTACCAGGCCATTCATTGTAAAATTTTATATATATTTAAAAGACTAGACACAAGACAGAATTACAGACTAGTCTAGAAAACTAGGCAGCCATAAAAAAGAATGAAAGTTTCTAAAAATTAAACTGTCCCAGGGAGTTAAAAAGACATCATGAAGTAAACAAACATTAGAATAGTAGGTCTGATAAGCAATGATTTGTACAAATAAGGGTTAATATGTATAGAAATATAAGCTACAATTTGTGCTTGCAGTCACCTAAAATGTCTCTGCACAACCACCCACGAAACAGGGAAATAGACTTTACTCAACATTAGGGTCTAAAAGAGAGGTTATTGGGAGATATTTTTCCCTACACAAACCTCTGGTACAACCTGGATTTCAAACAATGTGAATAAATGTCTGTAGAAATCAGCAAATCAATCTTCATTTAAAATTACTGAAAAGTGAGATGGCTCAGTCGATAAAGGGTTGTGTGCAAACCTGAGTTCAATCTCCACAACTCACATAAAGGCAGAACTGACTCCACAAAGATGCATTCTGATCTCCACATACACAAAGATGTATTCTGATCTCAGTACATACATAAACTTCCCCAACACACACACACACACACACACACACACACACACACACACACACACACTTACATAGACACAATAACACATTTTTCTTAATTCAAAAATAATTACTGACTAGTCAAAACACTTGAAAATACACGTCAACATAAGAACCTGAGATCAATACTGAGGCCAACTTGGGATATACAGCAGTTTCAAGTCAGCCTGGGCAACAAAGTAAGACACCCTATCTCAAAAGAATAACAATAATAAATAATAATACAGTAATTATTATTGTTATTAACAGTAATTATTATGATAATGATTAATAATAAAAACAAACCTGTAACCTCTAATTTCTGAGCAACATTATTGGGCAAAACCAAATATGTCTGAAAGGAAAAAAGGTGATGAAACAACACTAACAATGGCAGTGTTGTATCTGCCTAATTAGCAAAAAATGTAAAGACTATGAGGACTTTAATAAATTGGAAAAAATCCTGAACAGGAGAATCAAACTCAGTAGTGAGTTTTAGGAGGGGGACAGGTGAAGTTGGTAATCTGAGTCTTGTCAGGCCACAGCCCCACCTTCACAATCTGGCGTGCATTAGGTACAGAGAAGATATGGTGTCTCCTGCACTGAGCACAGGTGTGAATGCACAACAGGACCCAAACACTGCAGGGCTGCCTATCTAGCCTCATGGTAACCTGAGTACACAAGGCCAGACTTTCAAGGCCTGCTATGAGTCCATCTTCTCTAAACTCCAAGTCATTGAGAAATTTAGCCTTGGATTGGGGTGTACAGATAGTTTCCAGTTATTCATAACAAGGAACTTGGCAGAAAGGGCCATACTTAGTGATCCCAGCAATCCCACTCACAGGCAAGACCCAGACTCTATGTATGGTTATCAACTGTGTTCTGTGCCTCACTGAGAAAACTACAGGCTCTGTGAGTAAACCACCTACTCACTCTAAGATGGGAGGTGATCATAGCTGCATCTTATCGATGGGTCCTGGTCCCAGGACTGGTCCCAAGCTGTCTCCTGTGTAGGAGTCACACAGTGGGTGATGAGTGATACAGTCTCTAGTTGAAATGCCAGCTGTGTGACCGTGGGCAGATTATTTAACTTCTATGTGCCTGTTTCCTCCTCCATT